TACTACTTTGAGCATGTTGTCAATTCGATGCATGAGGACTGCTCCAATACCAATACCCGAGGCATCGCAGTGTAGTTTAATTGGTAGCTGTGGATTGAAGTGGACTAAGACAGGCTCAGAACATAACGCCTCCTTCAATTTTTGAAAGGCCTGTTGTTGCTCAGTAGTCCACTCAAAAATAGTCCTGTTTTTCTTGGTGAGTCTCGTGATAGGCTCTGCAATGATTGAAAAGTGTTTTATGAACTTTCGGTAGTAGCCTGCAAGTCCAATGAAAGCACGGACCTCAGTCACGTCGGTAGGAATAGGGAAATCTCGCACTGCTTTAACCTTTGCAGGGTCAGTTTTGATCCCTTCCTCATCAATAATGTGGCCAAGGAAATTCATCCTCTTAGTGCCAAAAGTGCATTTTGGTAACTTAAGTGTAAAGCCGGCTGAGGTGACCAATTTCAATGTATTTTTTAGGTGTTCCAAATGCTCCTCAAATGTTTTACCGAAGACTACTATATCGTCAAGATACACCAAGCATTGGTTGTGTTTAATGCCAGCGAGGACTATGTCCATCGTACGTTGAAAAGTAGCAGGAGCGTTAGTGAGACCAAAAGGCATCCTAATGAATTCAAATAAGCCATCCTGGGTGATGAAAGCAGTTTTCTCTCTATCGTTAGGATGTACAGCTAACTGCCAGTAGCCCGAATTCAAGTCAATGGTAGAGAAGTATCGACTTCCTTGTAATGAAGATAGTAAGTCGTTAATGTTTGGCAGTGGATACACATCACGCTTAGTCACGCGATTAACTTTCCGAAGATCAATACACATTCGCTGACCACCCGTTTTCTTTTTGACTATAACGACTGGGCTACCCCATGGGCTACAAGACGGTTGAATGACTCCCAGAGTAAGCATCTCTTCAACTTGTTGTTGGATCTCGGAGCGTTGAGCTTGTGAGTAGCGATAAGGGTGACTGTGGATTGGTGGGTGATTTCCAGTGTCTATTTGATGGTAGAAGAGATCACAAAAACCCAAATTTTCCTTATCAATAGACAAGTAGTCCGAGTAGTCCGTTAAGACATTCTCAACAGCTTGTTTCTCGCTCACGGATAGGTCCTCCGATATTGGTAAAATAAGTGGTTTTTCTTCTTCTTCGCGAAGCATTGATACAACATGATGATCTGACTCGTCGAAGAAAACCAATCCATCCTCTGGTAATCTATGTGTTTTTAGGGAAGTAGTCCCAATTTGTGTACTGTTGACTTGTTCTGAGGCTACAGAAACTTGTAAAGTTCTACAATTAACTTGAAGATTAGCAATCCGGTTGAAATTGTTGCCCAAAAGACAATCGAAATCTAAGGCTTCAGCAATCAAGAGAGTAGTCTCCACATATTGTTCCATACAGTCGACCTTAACAAGGGCTCGACATTTACCAGTAATTTCCATATAGTGACCACTGACAGATTTTATGCGTGGGCCCGTATATAACTCAATATCAGAGAGGTATGGGATGAACTTAGTATCTATCAGCGATACAGTTGAGCCAGGATCGACTAGGCATTTAACTCTCTCACCATTGACTTTTCCATATGTGATAACCAGTCGAGCAGAGTCTGAGTTTTCACCATCACTTACACTATTAGCTCTATGTACGGTTGGTGGTTGGACTACTCGAGAACCTGTGGAGTTTGCTGTTGGTTGTGAGCTATTAGCTTGGACATTAGCTTGAGAAAATGAATTATCGTGCATAGGAACGATCTGATTATCAGCGGTCATTTCTTGCGAGTATTGGCGAGGGAATTGATATTGATAGTTAGTATAACGTTGGTTCCTTTGATAACCATAGTTGATACGGTAGTCTTGATTATATCCGTTGTTTTGATATGGTTCGCCTTGATAACCATTGGTCGGATAGCTTTGGTAGCCTTGGTAATAAGCACCATCATTTGGTCTCCACTGACGAGTAAAAAGTGATTTACTTCCACGGTCAGTTGGAGGAGGACCAGGTGGATCCGGGAAGAGACGTCGGGCAACTGGATTGGCTGGAGCTGGTCGATTTAGAGCATAGCAATTACGGGCAATATGGCCATGTCTGCCACAGTAGTCACACTGTATCTCCCTTCGATAAGGAGGAGGATTGTTTTGGCCTTCTGGTGTTACAGCAAAGGTCCTTCGGTCATTCCGAGGTCTTAGACGAGAAACAGTCTCCTCCACTGCTCGTTGAATCATGCTCTCCAAATTTTGGGACTGCTCGGTTGTGGCAGATGCAGTAGTCACTCCTCTTTGGTTGACTTCAATTCTCTTTGCCTTTTCCAAAAATTCCGTCACAGTTTGAGGATTGAATGGGTATAAGGCCATTCGTAGTCCTTCATGTAGTCCAGGGTAAAGATGCTCAATCTTTTCTAAATCAGTCATAGCTGGATTATACTTGTCGCATATACTGAGCTTGGCGATCACGTAGTTGGCTACTGGTTCATTTGGTTTCTGGACCCGATTTCTTAACTCTTCACGCAAATAAGTCTCGAATCTGGAGGGAAGAAAGTACTCTTTGATGTTGTCCTTCACTTCACTCCATGTTAGGCCTTTCCCTTTAATGTTGATATGGTACCAGTCTTTTGCTGCACCAGCTAAATAGATAGGGAACCGTCTTAACCTTTCTTCGGACTTCCAATTGTATGACTCCGCGTAGTCCTCGAAGTCTCGTAGGAAAGCGTTGATGTCTGAGGAAGGACTACCATCATACAACTCAAGCTTCGGACCTCGATGGGTAGAAATCGTACCGGCCACGTATTCTGAAAGCACAGATTTGATAGTTTCCAGGGTAATCTCCCTGTCGTTGTTAACATCAACACTTTCATCTGGACCGCTCATTTTACGTAGTACACAGAAGATTTGAATCACTCAATACCGACTTTCTCCTCTCGGTGGAACCTCCAAATGTAAAAGTAGAAACTTTATCAGTATAAAGTTGGACTGAGTAGTCTGACTATGGTTCACAAGTGGACTACTGATAAGAAGGAACTTGAATTCAAATTTTTAAGTAAACTTTATTGGAGTTAGAATTGAAAAGAGAAATAGAGTATGTGGGTAAACAAGTATAAGGGCTACGAGGGATACAGATGGTAATCAGTGAAAGGGACCAAGATCACTACTGATTATCGGGTTTGAGATAAGGCTTTTATACTCAAAGATCTAGGAGTTCTCTTTACTCACTCGATCGTTAAATCAATACGATGGTAAACAATTCTCGGAATTGTTTATCAGTAAGTTGACCCTTGGAAGCAATAATAAACAATTGCACTGGTTAATTGGTTTTTGCACTTTTCGTAAACAAGTGGTTCAAATGACTACCAGATGTGTCAAGTATTAGCATAGAACTAAAAGTTCTCACAGTAAGGGTAAATAACAAGATAATTAGTTTTGGTAAAAACAAACTCTACACTGTCATCCTTCTTGGTTTATATTGACATAATAATGTTGTGTTGGCATTAAATCTAAACTTACTTTTTAAGTATTTAACATTGTGTTATCTTTCGAACTGTTTCCATCTTTGATAGACTGTTGATGTATAAAAGACACTTAATAGGGTTTTCAAAATACAAGGACTGCAACCATTTTTTAAGCATAATGATATTTCGGAACAACTCTAAACTATACTCACCTCGAAAGCTATTCAGAAGAGTCTTAAATTCATAGAAAAGATTGAAAATGTATAATAAGCAGTCATCAGGCAATTTATCGATATTCATTTAAGCAACTTCAAAAGACAATGACACAATGAAATCAAAAACAAAGCTTGAAATTATAAAAAGCAAAATATAAAACACTCGTTTAGTGATGAAAGTTTGTTGTGAATTAAACAATGAAACACATTGAAGCATTTAATCTTCTGAAGTTATTAATAAGTCAAGTGATTATTGTGTTATTTTGCACAACATCAATCCAGTACAGTTGATCAACAGTGAAAGCTAATGAATCTAATCTCATCCATTGATAATGATTCCATTTCAAAAGTATCACTATTCGAACCCCTCAAACTTTATCTCTGAAAATCAATGTGTTAAGATGAGGCAATGTAATGTTTACTTTTTTCAGTGCTTCTTTACTATTCCCGGATCTAAAGGGTAATCAGCGAAAGTATCTTATTACATGTTTGATATTAATATATGACTGAGTCAAAAAAGACTTAATTCAATAATTTCATTAATGCAATAAAGATTTGAAATATGCTTGATTCACTAGTTGCATCCATAAGTTAATTTTTGACTTATGGTTTTCAGGCTGAGGCCACAGGGTCAACAATGCTTGATTAAGTTTATCGTTTTTAAAACTTTTGTTGGAGCTGAGACAGCCTTGATTCCGTCCAAAAGTGGGAAGAAATGTTCTTGTTCTTGTCCTATCTGTAGAAGAAAATTTTTGTTTCCAGAATTAAATAGTATGGGTATCACAGAGTAAAGGAAGGAATCATCACTCCGGTCATTTTGTTCTGTCTGTCCTTTCCTTTCTGTTTAATTCAATGATTGTACTAAATTCATGTCATTGCAAACAAATTAATCTTCAATGTTGGCCTGTGAAACCTCTTGATGCAATTTTTCTTGAATATCTGGTTTGGTAGCGAGTCTCATAACAAGCCCAAGTCAATAGTGTTGATGTCGTCTCAGCTATAAGAAAGATAATAGCTGAGCCTCCACTTATTTTAATCATCCTAAGGAACCATTTAGGTGCTGTCACCAGAATTAAAATTTAAGCCAATTGGGTTCAAATGCTTTCACGAAATGTCGTTATATTTCATCATCTGAACTGTTGTGAACATCAAAACTCGTAGCAAAATGTGGGTTCAAGTAGCATAAGATTTCAACAGAAGGAGTTGTTTTAATGACTATTTTTTGAAAGGCAACAATTGACTTCTGACTACGTTTGGCTCTAGTGATAAGCGTTATCTCAATCTAATTAACGTTAGATGGAGCTTTTAACCGAGATCAAAGAGTAGAGGCTTCCTTTACTCTTTGACCGAGATTTACTGTATTTATCGAGTAAGATATAAAAACTTGTTATGAAAACAATTACAATCACTAGAGATGCGTTAGTCTCTCATAAGTTAAATGTTTTCCACTTTTTCTAAAGTAAATTCGTTTTTAATTAAATTTTTCTATGGATTAGTGGCTCTATTCTTGGGCAATTATGTTATCAAATTTGTGCAAAGAGTCCGTAAATTGCCTCCTGGACCATGGGGACTACCCTTTGTTGGCTACTTACCTTTCATTAGACAAGATGAGTATAACCATGTGACACAGTTGGCTGCAAAATATGGACCAGTTTTCAGTTTCAAGTGTGGCCAGTTTGACGTTATTGTTATTAACCAATGGAAGTTTATTAAAGAAGCTTTGGCGAATGAACACTTACTTGGTCGACCTAAAGCGACTTTTATACCAGGTGTAATGGAACACAGCTCATTTGCCGAAATGTCAGGTGAACCTTGGAAGCAACAGAGACGAATTGCTTTAACTACACTTCGAGATGTTGGTTTAGGAAAAAGTGAAATGGAAGATTCGATTAGCGACGAAATTAAATCATTCATTGAAGTAATCAAATCTTATGAAGGCGAACCAATATCAATATCTAATAAACTATCCTTGAGTGTATCAAACAATATATCAACGCTCATATTTGGACACAAATACGCTTATGATGATCCTGTTATTCTTGTTTTGGAAAAGTTGCGCGTCCTAACGAATGATACGCTGCGATATTTTAATGTAGCCGCATTCCTGCCGACCATCGTAAGTTTAATAATCAAATTAAACCTTTTCAGTTTATCAAATTTTAAGGAACTATTCAAAAAATTTGAATCTCATTTGGATGATGAGATTGATGAGCACCGTAAAAAGGATAACAATGGTTATGAAATAAATGATTACATCGATGGATTCCTCAATGAAATGTCCAAAAGACAGAACGAAAAGGATTCAACCTTCAATATAAATACTCTGAAACGAAATGCAGCTACGTTTTACGGTGCTGGCTCTGACACAATTGCAAATACACTCGAATGGATTATGATATATCTAGTTAAATACCCTGAATACCAGGAAAGGATACGCGATGAAATCAAACAGACGATTGGATTAAATAGACAACCTGAAAATGTGGACCGAAAAGAAATGCCCTTCACAATGGCCTTCCTTTACGAATCCCTGCGATTCAATTCGTTGGTTCCACTTAATTTATTGAGAAGAGCAACTGAAGATACCAAAGTGGGAGAATATTCAATACCTAAAGACAGCCTTGTTACATTTAACTTCTGGTCAGTCCATCATGATCCAAATTTATGGGATAATCCTGAGCTATTCAAGCCTGAACGGTTCCTCAATGAAGATAAATCTAAAGCCATTAAACCACCTTATTTGGTTTCATTCAGTGGTGGAAAAAGAGTTTGTCCTGGAGAGAGTTTTGCTTATCTTCAGTTATTCTTGTATCTTGTTTCAATTTTACAGCCATTTGAGATATCAGCTGAAACAGGGAAAGATATTTCATTAGAAAGGGTGCAAAAATTCCTTATAAGACCAAAAATTCTACCCGATTTTATTTTTAAAAATATTGATTGAATTATTTGCCTGAAAAGAGCTCTATTATTGTAAATAATAAATGAAATAATCCTCGTTAAGACGCTGGAGGTTTATGCCAACGCTAATCTAATGCCGTCTAATAATATATTGTAATAAAATAAGATTCTTTATATACTTTTCACTGGTTTGTTATTGTTCATTTTGTTTCAATCTAAAGTGCTTTTGATTCATAATTGCAATCAATGGCAAACCATTTACCTGGCAAGATTATTCCGTTATTTTGCATAACATCGATCCGGTACAATGGATCAACATTGAAAACTAGTGAGTCTAATCTCGTCTATTGATAGTGATTCCATCCCAAAAGCATCACTAATCGAACCTAACCTAACCTAACCTAACCTAACCTAACCCCCTGCATCTCTGTAAGTTAATCAATGTATTAAAATAAGGCAATGTAATTCTCAATAGATCTTCACCATTCCCGGATCCAAAGCATGATCATCGAAATTAATCTCACATGATCGAGGCAACAAGAAAGAAAATGAATAATAACTGCACAAAATGGTTTCTTTGATTAAAAGGAAAGCTATTTGAGCTTCACTCATTTAACTCAATAATTCAAGTCCTTGAGATGTTTGCTTGTTGATGAACAGGATATTGTCAATGAGAATTTAATAGTTGAAGCGTGAAGAGTCGATTTCACAATTGCTTGCAATCATGAATTAGTTCTGGGTTCAGCTTCTTTTCAATTTGATTTTCGATTTTCAGTTAAAACGACCCAATTCCGAACATCATAACCCAAATGCGCTAATGGAAAGTTGATTTAATTATTAGTTAGTAGAGAATTGAATTGGTATAAAAATGCTGATTGTAGGTGATACCATTCTCGAAATATTGAGGCTTAAAGTTTTAAGGCCAATGGCCAAAATCAAGAGAACTGTTGTTAAGTCGATAAAATTATTAAATCTATGATAAGAAAAAACAGTTTTTATAATATGTACAAATAATAAGTTTCAGCTTGCTTATTCTCACAGTCACTGAATGCGGTCGTTTTAACTGAAAATATTAAAATTCTATTTCTCAGAATAAATACATTTCCTGGTTGGTCATTAAAAGTTACATCAGTACTATGAGTTTCATGAAAAAGTATGCTTCCATAATTGTACAAAAAGCTTTGCAAGTTTCAACTTCGAACCCAATTTTCTCGAGAACTGTTTATCAAAGAAATCTTTGAATCACACGAATTGATTCATTTTGCATGTCCCTACAAACCCATAGAGTCTCAATCCGAAAGAAATTAGTTTTTGCCCATTTGTAAATTGCGTTGATTGTGTCTTTTTATTGCCAAATACATTATTAAAGTATTACTGTATTAAAGTTGGATAGGAGGAAAAGTTAGAAGTTATTATGTCAAGTAATTATTCTTCTATTTCGGCCAACATGGATCCGGTTCAATTGAGGGACAGTGAAAGAAGTGAATCTAATCTCATTCAGTGATTCCATTTCCAAAGTACCACTATTCGAGTCCCTCAAACTTTATCTATTTAAGTTTACATCTCTGTATTATTGTATTGAGATAATGTAATGTTACCTCTTTCAATGATTCTTTACCATTCCCGGATCTAAAGCGCAATCATTGAAATCAATCTCACATGATTGAGGCGAAAAGCAAAAAGTATCATAGTTACGCAAATCATTTCTTCAATGAAAAGTGTTAAAACTATTTAAGCTTCACTCTTTTCAGCTCATTAATTCATAACAAACCAACGATTCAAAAACCCTGTGAAACTGATTCGCTTACAACTTGAAATGCCAACTTATCGTTTCTTAGCCATTGCATTGGATGCGTAAGTATTGCCAGCAATCATTTGATTTTCAGTCAACTTTCATTGATTGTTGCATAAAACTCGATAGTATCCAATGTACTTATAGATTTTTATTTCGCTTCTTTTTTTAGCTCTGGACATGTGCATTCAATTTTGGGATTTGCTAAAGCTCTAAAGGCTGCTGGTCATGAAGTGTGTTTCACTCATCGTGAGAAGTACAGACATTTAGCTGAAAAGATAGGAGTATCATTCATTCCATTGCAAATGGTTGATGCTGATGGAGAAGAGCTAATGATTAAATTGATTGATGAATTTGCCGATAAATTTCGTAAAGATCCAATGGAATGTTTTCTTGAAATGGCCAAGTTTGCTGGTCTAGGGCTTGAAGATGCAGAAGCTCAATTTATGGCCTTCTTTGAGCCTTTGAACAAAATAATAACTGAGAGAAGCAACGAGTTCGATGCAATTATTTCAGACTTTCCAGGTCCATTACTTCGCATGTACTACCATTTGATCCCTTGCTTTCCACTCGTCTCTACAAACCCACTGGTATTGTACCCATCTGGTCCTCCATGTAGCTCTGGTTATTCAGTCAACAGTGATAAATCTAAATGGAGCCAGTTCAAAGATGTTTCCAACAGAGCTAATTCGATATTTCTCAAATTGCCAAGTCAACTGTCGGAAGCCATGAGAGTTCCGGAATTCAATGCTGATGAATTTGACCTGGGAAAGTACTCAAGTAGTGTACAATCTTTTGGCTTTTACCATTATCCTGCTGATTTGGACTATACTGAATGTGCTCCAATCCGACCTAAGTGGCATAGAATCGATTGTTGGATTCGTAAGCCAGATTTCGATACCGAATTCGTTATACCATAAAGATTACAAAATAAACCAGGTAAACTAGTCTACTTTTCGTTGGGAACATTAGGCTCTGCTGATATACCTGTGATGAAAAAGCTGATTGTGGTTCTAGCCAAATCACCGCACAAATTTATCGTCTCTAAAGGACCTCGAGGTGATGCACTTGAATTGGCTGACAACATGTGGGGTGAAAATTATGTCAATCAAATCAAGATAATTGAACAGGTTGATCTGGTGATAACTCATGGAGGTAACAATACGTTTATGGAAACACTTTATTATGGAAAACCCATGATTGTCATTCCCTATTTTTATGATCAATATGATAATGCACAGCGAGTTGTTGATAAGAAGATTGGTTTCCGTATCAATCCATACGAAATTAAGGAAGATTATCTTCTCGATTGCATTGAAAAAGCAGTTAATGACCAAGAATTGAAGAATAGAATCAAAGCGATTTCTCAAAAGATGAGAAATTCAAAGAGTCTAAATGAGGCCATAAAAACGATTGAAACACACATTGAAAAGTTTCAAAAATAACTAAACAGAATAATCGATATTAAAATTGTTTCAATTATCATTCTGGACTTGTATTAATTTTATTTTGGTTTGAGAAGTGAAAGATTTATGAAAAGCAATAATCTAGTGCAAATATTAACATCACATGTAAGTGTATTTGGTGTGAAATGGAGTTTAGCGCGAAGCGCTTCGAGGAATGTAAACTTTATTGATTTATGCCTTTATTAGTTATTTTATTCAAGTTCCCAAACATAACATGAATTTTCCTTTTCAATTTCAAACTTTCGCGATTATTACGACTTCGTTTTTAACCACTTCGCACACAAAATTCCTCTCAGATCTCGTAAACTATAAGTCTTAATTTCCTCAATTCAACATTTCTTCTTGTATCATTGACAATAAAATGTTTAATAATCATATTTTTGTATTTATTTTTGAATTTCTGATTGTAAACAAAATTTTAATGAATGAAGCTTTCAATGTTGGCTAGTTTTGTGAAAGTTTTACACAAAAAAATACCAAACTGTAAATGATTCAATATCTTGGTTTGATGCCCAATGTCAACGTCTTGGCTGTCTTTATGAATGTCCCTGTAACGTGTTCAATTTCACTTGGAGTCTTATCATTAGGGAACAGCTGATAGTTACGAACTAACGATGCCAGTGAAAGCTTTGCATTAATCAGAGCAAACCTCATTCCGATACAGGTTCGAGGTCCAGCACCAAATGGTAAGAATGTAAATGGTTTCGGTGAACCTTCCAAAAATCTATTTGGATCAAAAACTTCTGGGTCAGGATAATTTTCTGGATCATGATGCATAGCATAAACTGGGAAAGTAACTACGGTTCCTTTTTTAATCTTAATTTCTGTGCCTGGTAAAACATAATCAGAATGAGAGACACGTTGAAATAATAAAATTGGAGGATCGATTCTTAGAGTTTCCGAAATAACAGCCTCCAAGTAGGGAAGATCTTGTAAAACTTCATAATCTTCAATGTTGGCCTGTGAAACCTCTTGATGCAATTTTTCTTGAATATCTGGATTGGTAGAGAGTCTATAACAAGCCCAAGTCAACAGGGTTGATGTCGTCTCATATCCAGCTAAAAGAAAGATAATAGTTGAGCTGATAATTTCATCTGAAGACAATTTTTTAGCTTCTCCTTTGAGCTCTTCCCCTTCTTTACCCACAACTTCAGCGTCAATCAATAGCTGAAGAAAGTCATTCCCTTTATTGTTGCCTTTTTTACGCTGTTCAATTATTGGAAGAGCCAATTGTTTAAGATAATTCAGACTCTCGGCTGAACCTCCACTCATTTTAATCATCCTAAGGAACCATTTAGGCGCTGTCACCAGAAACACAATTTTAATCCAATTGGGTTCAAATGCTTTCACGAAATGTCGTAATACTTCATCATCTGAACTGTTGTAAACATCAAAACTCGTAGCAAAAAAGCACTTGGTTATGACGTCCAAATTGTATCGACCCCAGAAATATTTGGGATCAAAATCGGGTTCCTTTGAAGAAGTCAATTTAACCAGTTTTTTTTGAGCTTCTTGGTTACAAATTTTAATCAACTCAAACATTTTCTTCATCTTTCAGTGGTAAAAGTAGGTGACAATGTGCTTCTCATACGCTTCCACTTCTCTCCATACAAGGCGGTCAAAAAATTGCGCTCGATTGAACCAAGAATGTTCTGCTCAAATCCTTGAGGGAAAATGTGAAAATCTTTGTAACATATTTGCCGGATAAGTTCAGGTTCCCCTACATGCAGATGAGGGCTGGTTCCTTGATAAGTCCTGGATACCAACAAAAAAATAAACATATTGAAAGGAATTTGTTTTCATTGTATATTTACCCGTAAATTTTCCCATATTTAGTATAATTATCGACCAAGTCGTCCGTTATTGACTTTGAAAATGCAGTGTTTCCAATAAGGAAAAGGGGTTTCGGCCCTTTAACACCTTGTTTTTCCCAGTACGAGTGATTTTTCTTGGTGTAACTATCAATAAAGAATGTTATTATCAAAAATGAAAGTTGTCAATAAAAAAGCATACTTACATGAATATCCAGCTTATGACACTAATTAAAGCAACTACAAACCATTGATTTAATAAGTCAAACATTTTGAGGTCCAAGAGAGGAAAATGTGTTTGCTATGGAAGGTCTAAGGTTGAATGGAAGCATAAACTGTTATTAGTTCTATTTATTAAGCGAATAGGTTCAAAGGGGTAAAGATTGGAATCCAATTCACATGTTACGATAGGTTCAAGGGCGAATGAAATAGCAGTCGATAACGATCAGAATCTTCTCTATCATACTCCTTCGGGGACCAGACTTCAAGGTATTAAGTGATACAAGATACGAGTATGTTGAAAGCAATGTTCAAATGAGCATGATAAGCGAAATGAAAACATTATCCAGCATGAACAATTGCATCACAGATATGATAGTGATCAGGATGTTTACTATCGTATGCAAATAATACCATAATACCATTTCAACTGAAACCAGAAAAAGAGAGATGAATGTTATTAATAGATTTCTTGTGAAAAGCTTTTCCTTGTTTACCTTGAAATTTCTTAACCGATTGAACCTAAATGTAAAATAATGAGTTGATGGGTTGAAAGATACGCTCAGAGTTTCCGATTGCATTCACTCTTCGAAATCAGGATGCAATGTTGAAATTAAAGTGACGAGTGGAACCCCCGAAATTTGATAGAGAGATGAGCAAAAGAAAGTTGCCAAAGTTAGTCGACGTAGTCAGTGGGTCAGTTGTAAATATTGAGAAACACCTTTGTAGACTTTGCTTTCAAGGCTATGACATGTCAGAAAAGGCTGAGATAATGAGGCTCTCTTGAAATAGCTTAAATTTAATCTAGATATTATCATAGTATCATGACATGATTATGAATTGGCTAACCTTGATGCTCAATGAATTAAGTATTGCAAATAGATATGCTTTGTGAACAATCATTTGATCAGAATCCATTTAATCATCTGAAGTTATTAAATCATGTGATTATTCGTTATTTTGTCCAATATAGATCCGGTTCAATTGATGAACGGTGAAAACTAGGGAATCTAATCTCATCTACTGATTCCATTTCAAAAGTATTTTTATTCGAACCCCTCAAACTTTATCTGTGTAAGTTTATTAATGTATTAAGATAAGGTAGTGTAATGTATACTTTTCTCAACGAGACTCTTATCTCTCTTACTATTCCCGGATCTAAAGCGTAATCGTTCAAATTAATCTCACATGATTGCGGCAAAAAGAAATGAAAGTAAAGGATAAACGCGCAAAATCAGTTCTTCAATGAAAAGTGTTAAAACTATTTAAGCTTCACTCTTTACAGCTCATTAATTCATAACAAACATTCACCAACGATTCAAAAACCCTGTGAAACTGATTCATTTACAACTTGAAATGCCAACTTATCGTTTCTTAGCCATTGCATTGGATGCGTAAGTATTGCCAGTAATCATTTGATTTTCAGTCAACTTTCATTAATTGTTGCATAAAACTCGATAGTATTCAATGTACTAATAGATTTTTATTTCGCCTCTTTTTTAGCTCTGGACATGTGCATTCAATTTTGGGATTTGCTGAAGCTCTAAAAGCTGCCGGTCATGAAGTTTGGTTCACTCATCGTGAGAGGTACAGATCTTTAGCTGAAAAGAGAGGAGTGTCATTCATTCCTTTTGGTGAAGATTTTGTTGATGCTAATGTAGAGCAACTAATGATCAATTTAATTGAAACCTTTGCCGATAAATTTCGTAAAGAGCCATTGGAATGTCTCCGTGAAATGGCCAAGTTTGCTGATGCAGGTCTTGGGGATACTGGTGCTCAAATGATGGCCTTCTTTGAGCCTTTGAATAAAATCATAACTGAAAGAATCAACGAGTTCGATGCCATTATTGCTGACATGCCAGGTCCAATACTCAACCTGTACAACCATTTGATCCCTTGTTTTCCGCTTATCTCAACCGCTCCACTAGTATTGTATCCATCCGGTCCTCCATGCAGCTCTGGATATTCAGTGAACAGTGATAAATCTAAATGGAGCGAGTTCAAAGATGTTTTTAACAAAGCCAATGCAATGCTATTCAAGATGCCCAGTCATATTTCGGAAGCCATGGGATTCCCGGAATTCGATCCTGATGCATTTGATATAGAAGAGTTTCTTGGTAAGGTACAGTCTTTTGGTTTTTACCATTATCCTGCTGATTTGGACTTTACTGAATGTGCTCCAATCCGACCTAATTGGCATAGAATTGATTGTTGGGTTCGTAAGCCAGATGTTGATACCGAATTCGTAATACCAGAAAAACTACAAGATAAACCAGGTAAACTAATCTACTTTTCGTTAGGAACATTAGCATCTGTTGATACATCCATGATGAAAAAGCTGATTGCTATTCTAGCCAAATCGCCACATAGATTTATCGTCTCTAAAGGACCTCGAGGTGATGCACTTGAATTAGCTGACAACATGTGGGGTGAAAATTATGTTAATCAAATCAAGATAATTGAACAGGTTGATCTGGTGATAACTCACGGAGGTAACAATACTTTTATGGAAACACTTTATTATGGAAAACCCATGATTGTCATTCCCTACTTTGGTGACCAATATGATAATGCACAACGAGTTGTTGATAAAAATATTGGTTTCCGTGTCAATTCATATGAAATTGAGGAAGAGCATCTTCTTGATTGTATTGAGAAAGCAATTAAGGACCAAGATTTGAAGAATAGAATCAAAGCCATTTCACAAAAGATGAGAAATTCAAAGAGTCTAACTGAAGCCATCAAAATGATTGAAAAACAAATTGAAAAATTTGAAAAATAACCAGACGCAATAGTTTAAATGAAAATTCTGGCCTTGTATTTTTTCATTATTTTTTGAGAAGTGGAAGAATTAATGAAAATTAATATGTTGGTCTGAGTAATAACGAATAATGTGAGTTAATTTGATGATAGACAATTCGCAGAGCTTTCAGAAATGTAAACTTATTTTTTTTGCCTTGATAATTATCGCATTTAATTGTACAAAATCAAAATAAAACTATTAACTATTATCTCACAAATTATTCATTTACTGCTTTCGGCTTGATTCGAGTTAAGTAAAGAGTTAATTTAAATATATTTGCAAGACGAGCAAATAACTTTTTAAATCGTCTCCAAGTTCAGAATAAAAAATTTAGGAATATTCAATCTGATTCAATTGGAGAGTTGCTGATAAAAATCGTTTTTACTATTTTGTTAATCATTATCGTCAATCTTCATCATTATCCCTCCGTTGCTACTCTTAAAAAAAGTCACAAATATGCTACTCTTTGGACAAAACTGTCCGTAGCCTTAACAGCAGTAAGAAGTAAATGAGAGGCAAAAGTTGTAAAATGGGGGTAGCGTTGACCCTGACCCTAACTTTTGACCAAAATTTTGTCAGTTCTCTTTTTTATTGCTTTTTTGGTTTCTGTGTCTTATGTTTGACTTTTTTGACTTTTTTGACTTTTCTCAAATCTATTGAAATTTTGAGTTTTGCTTGAAATCTTGCTATGGCAGTCTAACTCATTTTAATCCTAGAATTTTCTCATTTTCGTATCAAAAAACCGCAATAGATATTGAGATGCCACTAAATGTATCTTCTAGAGCATATTTTAATCTATTGAAATCCATAATCAAAAGTTAGTGACATTTAATAAATTTTGATCAATGGTTGTTCATTATTTAATGCACCTTTGACTTTAATTGCTTTTATTGATAAAACTATATTGGTATCTTCATTGATTTTACATTCAATTCAAATGCTTCTTTCTCGTAAAACATATTCAGCCCGATCTCAAAATTTTCAAAATCAAAAACTGAGATAGTTGTTACCATCATAAAACCAAAAAAGTTGATTTGACCTTTGCCCTCTCTTTGCTAATTATCTTCGCTTTTTCTTACGGAAAGGCTTGTATAAGCTATTGATGACTCTTTTTGTGAGTTGTTACAAAAAAGCAATAAAGTGGTCAAAAAAATAAAAGAGAATTTTATTGCTCCGTAGCTTTGGCAGTGCATTTACGCAAAGCTACTCTTGTGACTTTTTTGTCTTTGACCGTGCTAGTCACTCTTTATATCAATATTACAGGTAAACTATAATGTCCATACTCTTTGTTTTCGAGATGTACACACTCATATCTATGATTGACAATGTTCCGGAGTCAAAAGTTTCTAACTCATAAGGTTTTGATTTTATTAACATTCAAAAATTATTTTGGACAAAAAAGTCTAAGAGTAGCAACGGAGGGTTATAATAGCTTCTCTTGCAACAAGATAACATTAATATAAGTTCAAGTTATCTTTATTCTTGCCATTATACTTGGTGCAGTCACCATTGATAACAGTACTTGTAGTTGGAAATAGTTCATTTCGTTCATAAGTTATTATTTTGTTCAATAAAAATATGTTAATACACCCAATTCAATTAAATTGTTATTTTAAGCTATTATATTTCCATGGGAATCTCTAATATGTAAGAGTGGAAATTAAATTACGTTAATTATTTAGATGTAACATTCTGAACCATTTTATAACATTTAATAATAATAATCATTTGATGGGCAATATTTCCCATTGAATTAACTAACATTTAGTTAAATAATGATTAATTAATCGTCCAATTGACGAGAAGCACCATTTCCATTCATTTTTCAAGTTATCACTTTGCAGTCATAATTTGCACTCCCCTTAATAATCAATTTGTTAAACTAAGAGTTTGTTTTACCCTTCTGACCATTGTTGAGAATAAGAAATTTTATTTGTTAAGACAGGGAAATAGACAGAATAAAGAAAGAGGAGAATGATTTGGACCATTTCTCTTTCGAAAATTTAAACGCTTAATTTTTGAAAATTACATTGATTTAATATTGTTATTATACGTTCCAATTCTGCAATGGAGATTCGTTTAATGCTGTGCAAACTCTCGTTTAATTCAATTTCTAAACAATATAATGTGTTGATACTGATTTTTATCTGAATACTTTGAAAAGAAAAGTTTGACACCAATTGATGACACAATGAATAAAGGTTTTTTTCAGCGCAAATTGGCCATACATAAACAGCGTTGAAGTAGCCAGCAATATCAAGCATTATGTTCACATTTCATGGAAAAATATTTGCTGCATTTTCTGTGAACATTTTTCCCACAATCTGAAAGAAATAAGATGAAGGAAAATTAGCATGAATCTCCAAACAAGTTTAATGGAGCCAATTTCAATTTCTTTTTTATCAATTCTTTCAAAGCTAAACAAGTTGTAAGCAAAGTCACGAAATAAGTCCTTGAACTGTTTACTTGTTGATGAACAGGATATTTTATTTAGAGGGATATTGTTGGTAGGACGGAATCATGCGTATAACTTGTAGTTATGGCTGCTCTGACAGAACTTCTGTCTTCAATTTGTTCAATTATCTGACGTAATACTTTCACTGACGCCAAGCTAGTTTAAAAATATTAGATAAGAGCTATTTCATCTGTCAACCATCTTTTTCCGATTTATTTACAAACAGTTTTTGATGGTAGCTTACCTTTGCATTTGAGGCCTTGCTGGATAATTCCAGTCAATAGGGAACCACAATGATTACAGAAAGTTGGTGAATAGTAGGTGCGAACTTTCAATGTATGAGATTCACCAGCATCTTGTTGATCCTCATTAGGCAAATCCTGGTTAAGATAATTAATCTTATTATTATTGTTATAAAAGATCAATTTTCAGATGATAAACTCACAAAAAACTTGTCATGTAAAAAATAAACATTTGATGTTAGGAATTCAATTTACCTGATTAGTTTCTCCAAATTCACATTGATTTTTCACAGCATTGTGACATCTTTTGTGTACAAAACGGACACAGCCTTTAATTGAAAAAAATATAAAAATTAATAAATTCACTTATTAATTAGATTAATTTATCCCAATATCTTACCTTTACATTGATATCCTTGTTTACCAAGACCGAAAATGAATCCATCACAATGGCAACAGTAAGTTGGTGAAATCAGCAAAGTAGCTTTAAATTGATGACCAGCAACTGAATGGATTTTACTTGGCATGATTAACTTGACTATTAGACAAACACTTGTTCGTTAATGAATAAATTACTGTATTATATTGAAGTAAGCTATTTAAGTGAATGTGTAAAACTTGCAGAAGATAACTTAACTGTCTGCTCAACTTTTATTGCTTAATAAACAGCTTTTGGAAACTCAGCCTTCAAGATCATAACAGCTCCAGCCATCTAGTGGTGCTATCAAATCAACTCTTCGTTTGTTTCATCGTTATTAAACTATTTAGAATCATAGTTTAATTTAATTTAATGATAACTTTGAGTAAAATGTCTCCCGGGTTCACTAAAAGGCCAAAATTTCACCAAAGGAGGATGTCAAAAGTTGCCTATTTTCAGATCACTTTCAAAACACTTTTTTCTTGTGTATTTTTTTGTGCTGTTTCTAAAAATATAAATCATATTTTGATCCAAGGTACCATTCTTGAGATATTCACGAAAAAAACAAATAAAATTGAGGATGAAGAAAGGGTAGAGATTTGCTAGAAGAAGTCAGTGATTCACAATTATTTTTTCATAGCATTGTAACAAAATGATGCAAAACTCATATTTAACATTTTTTGTGGAAGAAAAAAGTAAGAAGTAAGTCAATCATCACAAGAACTCACTTAATAGCGTTAAGACGTATATTAGTCCAACTTCCAGTTCTTTGCACATCATGAAACTTTTGTGGTATACATAATGAGCAATGCTGAATTCATAAATAAAATAATCTCAAATCTAAAATGGGGCAAAGCTAGTCATATATTGGAAAAACTGTCTGAATCGTGTTTTGGACTTATTTAGTTCATGATCCAGGTCTTTGCACCTCATGAAACTTATACGGTATACATTGTAGCCAATGCTGATTACATATATGAAGCAATTCTGAATCTAAAATGGGGCAAAACTAGTCATACATTGATAAACCTTGAAAAATCGCGTTTTGGCCTTTTTAGTCCATTATCCGAAAGTTTGCACCAAATGAAACTTTTATGGTATACATAATAGCCGATGTTGATTGATTATATGCATCAATATTGAATCTCGAATGAGGCAAAAATATCTAGGTCGTGTTTTGACGAGTTTTTCCAATATATGACTAGCTTTGCCCCATTTTAGATGCAAGATTATTTCATATATGTAATCAGCACCGGCTATTATGTATACTGTATAAGTTTCATGAGGTGCAAAGACCTGGATCATGAAATAAATAAGTCCAAAACACGATTCAGACAGTTTTTCCAATATATGACTAGCTTTGCCCCATTTTAGATTTGAGATTATTTCATTTATGAATTCAGCATTGCTCATTATGTATACCACAAAAGTTTCATGATGTGTGAAGAAAATTTAACTTGCTTCATGAGAGTTCCTAACTGAACTAACTTTTATTATTCTTCAGCCTTTTCATTTATTCCTTTACAATTCACCCTTATCGATCGTACATTTGCTTGGATCGATAAGGGTGTAGACATTCAAGACATATTTTATCTAATTAATGTAAAATATAAGGGTGTGTTACATATACCGGCCGCCATTCTGAACAGCCACTGTTCAGTTACAATGATAGCGTGGGGTCTTGGAATGTTTATCTATTGTTTGTGGATTGTTTCTAATTTTTGAAGATAAATGCCATCCTTCGAGTTCTATGAGAGGGGAGTTTATTTCTGCTCCTACAGTGTATGAAATTTCACCTTCAGAAGCTTTGCTACGGATTATGATTTTATTTAAACTTGTAGGACCTTCGCTTCCACAATTGCGACAACAATTAGGTCCAACTGTGCAGAATTCAGGTTGATAAGTTTCTGCCTCTGTTAGGGGAGGACCAAGACAGCATCCTTTATTTTTTGTTGGATTATCTGGTCGAAATTTCTTACAACATCCCTTGTAATCGGACTTGTGGATTGATATACAGTCGTATTTAGTGTCGTACTCTTCGCAACACCATTTACAAATGATTACAAATTGACTACGAAGACGATTAAATGGACTATCATCTAGTTCAAATCTTGTGGGATATTTTTCGAAATCCAAAGGGGGAATTGAGAGAGCAGTACGAGCAAGTTCGGAGTAGTGTTTATAGAACTCGCTTATCTTTGCATCGCTGGCCAAGATAAACTGTTTTTGGGTATGATCTATTGGAGTACCTCTATGGCAAGGAATTTTCGTCATGGAAGACTGTATCCAAGATTTTTCAAATCTGCTGACCGGAGAGAAAGGAACAACATCGACGAAAGCAAAATCATAAGGTTCTGGTGGATCGCTACAATCTTCAAGATAATCATACTCGGGCTCGACATGTGCATGTCTAACTTGGCATTGGGATTTGACCGACTGAGACAAATGCAGACTCATTAGCATCATGGAATGAGCCGTCGATTGCATGGTCCATACTGACAAAGAGTCCTAAAGCAGCGTAGTCCGCATTATCTGCAAATTCTTCATAAGAAATTTTCTTGAGTCCACCTTGAAAAGGACAACAGAAGGAATAGGAGGCACCTCCAATAATGCCAACATACTGGATGGTTCCGTCCCAAACTGTATTTTTGAAACCCAAGTCACTAGCATAATGTATTATATATTGCCAGAATATTACGCTTTGTCTACTTCGGCTGCAGAATGGAATGAATGCCTTGTAAGATTTGTCATTCATCTCGGGGCCTTTATTGTAAGATAAAGAGGTTTTGTTAATTGGATTTAGGATAAGGGAATTACAATTATCATTATGTTCAATAGAGTTACATTTATAGTATTACAATTTTTAGGAATAAAACTATGTTCTAAGGATCTAATACAATATACCAGCCGCCATTCTGAACAACCAATGTTCAGTTACAATATTATTCAGATGATTCAATACCTAGAATATTTAGCTTAATTTTTGACTTTTGGTTTACAGGGATATCTATAGGTAATACGGTAATAACAGTTGGTTTAAAACAATATTGGTGCTGTCTGAGGAATTTAGTATCATCTAACAGAGTATGGTCTAACCTCAAGATCGCACCAACTTTACAACCAATAGTTTCCTCGATCTTTTGTCTCAAAACTGCACCGGACTCAAGTAAGGACAGGTTATTAATTTGAAATGTTTTATCTAGATATTTAATGGTAAATTTAGTGTACTTTCCATGCGGGTTATTAACACTGTTCATGGGATTGGATGTAGATGGTATTGGTATCATGGAATCACTATGTGGTCTGGCTAATTCTAATTGAATTACTTTATTTTCTAATTCTTTTATCCTTGTTTCTGCTCCTGCTGTAATTTGTTTTCTGAGGGTATTTTCTAAAGTTAATTTTTTAATTTCTTCATCTTTAGATTTAAGCTCTGCTTGGTTAGAAATGAGTTCCTCCATGCAATAACTTGAATGTATTTCTTGATTCCAATTTTTGGAAGTGCATCTCGTGCAATTTTTAACATTATGGGGACAAGTATTTGTGTGTGAATCGAACTTTTCGTTGTCTATGATTTCTCTACATGTAGGGAATCCACAATATACTTTTAATTTATTCCATTCGGCTATTGATCTAGGACCCGACTTGGGCCTCTGTATACATCTAAGTGGCTTCCTACAATTCGGACATGGCTTAAACTTTTCACCAGCCTTTTTGGTAAGATTATAAGCCCTTAAGCAGGTATTGGGGCACATGCAAACTCTACAAAAGTTACAGGTATGGTCACTAGAATGATCGGAAATTAATTCTGAGCATATGATGCAAGTGAAGTCCTTGTATGCTTCTGAATCTACAAAATCTCTCATAACTTGAGGTTCAGGAGCTTGTTCCATAATGGATAATATTGCTGGATTTGGTGGTGTTGGTGGTCTATTGTACAATGCGTCAATGTCAGCGTCAGCCTCAGTGTCGGAGTCAGTGTTAGCGTCGGAAGTTGGAGGATTCCAATTAGACCAATTCAGCCCACGATGAAATCTTCTTTGCCAGTTCGATGAATTGAAGCGAGAAGTGGATGGAAGCGGACCAGAATTTCGATTGGAAGAAGTATTTCTAACATTAATACGTCTACCTCTACCAATAGCGTGACCTTGCCAATCCATCGGATTGTAACGAGAAGTGGATGGGACTGGATCTGAATTATGACGGGAGGTGGATGGAGCTGGATCTGGATTATCACGGGAGGTGGATGGAACTGGACCTGGATCTGGATCTGAACTTAGGTCAACAAATACTGGACTTTGTTGTCGTGGTCGTAGACGATCTTGATACATGTCGAATAATCTAGATTTGGATAGAATTTATAATATAATTAGATATTTGAATAACAGCTAATGTAATCTAAATTAGATGCTAAATCCATTAGGTCTAAGTTATAATTAATATTATAGTATAACAGCAAAGAGCTCATTATTCAACTAATACAGAGAGCTCAGTGGAATCGATATAGGTGCTAACTGCGTTTTATAATCTTGTTAGTTCGAATCTGGAACCATATTTACTGCTATAACGGGTTTTTTAATGCAAAATAATATCGTGTTGAACAACTTCGATATTATTAGTAGCATTATGCATACGGTTATGACACTCAATAAAACTGTTATTAGGCTTCTTTTAATCCAAGATAACCATGATTCATCGCGTTGAATTTCTGTTTTATGTTGTATTATCAGTTCTTCCAACAGTCCAAGATCATAGGGTTTTTCCTCGACAACCGGTCTAATATTTGTTAACTTCCAGTTAATCAAATTAGAAATAGGTGTCATTTCAAAATGTTCCAACGTGGCAAGCTCACTAAATGGATAAAGTTGACCATCGATGGAAAAGTTCTGATCCTTTGAAACTTTAGTAATCTCATTCGAACACGGCCCAGTACTTCCATATTGAGTCAAATTATGACCAACACAATAGACATAATAATAATCATTAACAATCTTAATCTGGGGTTTCCTTATTTTGAATTTAGTTGCTTCAATACAGTTCTCCTTCTCCCAGAGTTCCACTCCTTTCGATACGTCACAATAATTGGGGAAGTGAATTAAGTATTCTTCTTTTAATTCGTCCGCTTCAATACTACACATTTCTTTTGAAGTTAAATTAACAGTGACATACTGAGGTCCTTTGTACTTCAACAAACATACTGAACCATTATTTTTCTCAAGTAACGTGAACGGGTCTGCTTT